TTCAGCCATCTAATGATTTCTTTCTGTGAGATACTCTATTTTTTTCAGTTCTAAATTTTTCATTTTGTTTTTTACAATGTCTGATTTTCGGCTAAAAATTCATATTTTCACTTAACTCAGGCATCTTTTCCCTTACTTTATGAAGCACAGTTCTAATAATTGCTTTAGAGTCTGTGATAATTCTAACTTTGGATCACTCAGGGTTTCCACCTATTGTTTTTCTCCAAGAGAATTGGTTATATTTCCTTGGTTCTTTTATATTGAATACTTTTGGATTATGGTCCAGATATTACAAATGTAGTGTATTAATTGTAGGTCCTGTTATAATACTACAGAGAATGTTGATGTTTTTATTTTAGAAGGAAGTGAACCTGGTTATGCTTAGACCCTTAGCTCTATCTCATTTACCTTCTCCATGTTGCATTAGGTCTGTCCTGATTCAGGGATTAGTCTATATATGATTCATTTCTCAGTTTAGTTTCTCTATGTATTTTCTACATTGAATTGAGTGTGTATCATGCTCATGATTAAGGATTAAGCTGAGATTTGTGTATTTGGTCTCAATTCCCTTCTAATTTAGGGAGACATGATCTCCCTACACTGCCCGGGGTGGTGGGAAAGTTAAAGTCGTCTGCCTTAGCTTCCTGGGTCACTGGGACTTTAGGATTTTGGGTGCACTATTGCACCCAACTAATACTTGTATATTCTAATCTCAGTTCACTTCCGAGTTTAGAACTTAAATCTCTGCTGTGCTAGTTTGAATCTTAACTACTAATATAAGGGTGGGGATGGTTGTTCTTAGACTAATGTTGGTTCATACACAGGATTAAAGTGTTTCTTTTTCTGGGTTTCTCCCTCTTGGATTCCCATGACATATGTCAACACAGAGGAGTGTTTTTCATTCCTTGTTCTTTTATAAAAAGTCTGGGCTTCTATTGGAGTTTACCAGTATGTTGCATCCTCATGGTGCCTATAGTATGCTTTTTTATTCCTTATTTCTTGAATTTGAGGGTTTTTTGTTTGTTTGTTTGGTTGGTTTTTTTCTGGTGGAACCGGGACTGAACTCAGACCCTTGCGCTTGCCAGGGAAGCACTTATTCCACTGAGCCATCTCCCCAGCCCCGAATTTGAGTTTTTTCTTTCCTCTTTTTGATGAGATTGACTAGGGGTTTATCAATTTTATTTAATCTTTCAAAGAACCAGCTCCTTGACTCATTAATTCTTTGTACTGTTTTCTTAGTCTCAATTGCTTTAATTTCTGCTCTAATCTTTACAATTTCCTGCCTTCTTTGGGCTTTGGGCTTGGTTTGCTCTTCTTTTTATAGAAGCTTGAGGTGTGGCATTAGGACACTTAATTGTTCTTGTTCCATTTTCCTATGTAAGTTCAGCACTATATATTTCTCTCTGAGAACTGCTTTCATTGCATCCCACAAATTCCAGTAAGTTGTGTTTGAGTTTTTGTTGGCTTGAAAGTATTGTTTAATTTCATCTGTGACCCATTGGTTTCTGAAGAGGTTGTTATTTAATTTCCATGTGGTTTTGCAATTTGTTTTGTTGTTAATTTCCAGTTTTGTTGCACTGTGGTCAGCAAATATGCATGGGATAATTTCTGTTTTCTTGCATTTAAGCATGATCTATGGACTAATATGTGGTCTATTTTAGAGACTATCCCATGTGCAGCTGAAAGGAATGTACATTCAGATGTTGTTGGGTGGAGCAAATGTCCACCAAGTCCATTTGTTCAAAGGTTTTGTTCAGTTCTACTATCTCTTTGATAATTTTTTCCTGCTTGACTTATCTTTCTAAGCTAAGGTCCCCTGTTAATATTGTGTCATTGATTATTAGATTTTTCATATCCTTTAAAATTTATCTTATATAGTTGGGTGCTCCCATATTTGGTGCATACATATTTATGACTGTTATTTTTTCCTCTTGAAATTTTCCCCTAACCAGTGTGCAGTGACCTTCTTTTTCTCATTAATCATTCTTGGTTTGAAGTTTAGATTGTCTACAAGCAGAATAGCTACCTCTGCTTTTTTCTGAGCTCCTGGAGCATGTAATATTGTTTTTTATCCTTTGACTTTCAGCGTATGAATTTCTTTTTGAATTAAATGTGTTTCTTGTAAATAGCGTATTGTTGGATTTTGTTTCTTGATACTCTCTGCCAATCCATTTCTTTTAATTGGTGAATTGAGTCCATTTACATGGTTATAATTGATATGTATTGGTTTGTTTGTCATGTTCTTTTCCTATTGGTGGTTCCCTACTTTTACTGTGTTTAATTGTTTTCCCTGTGTGGTGGGTTCTTTCTCTTGTTATTCTTGGAGTTGTGGTCATTTTTTTTTTTTTTTTTTTTTTGTGGAACCGGGGATTGAACTCAGGGCCTTACGCTTGCCAGGGAAGCGCTTATTCCACCGAGCCATCTCCCCGGCCTGGAGTTGTGGTCATTTTGATTCCTTTCTAGAATGTCTTCTAGTACTCTGTGTTGGGTTAGTTTGGTCATCATGAATTGCTTTACTTGTCATGAAAGTACTTTACTTCTCTATTAAATTTGAAAGAGAGTTTTGCAGGGTTTATCAGTCTAGGTTGCAGTTTGTTTTCTTGTAGGACTTGAAATACTTCACTCCATGTACTTCTTGATGATTTATGTTGAAAAATCTGCTGTTATTCTGTTGGTTTTTCCTTTAAATGTGATCTCTTTCTCTTCTCTCGTGGCTTTTAGTATGTTGTTCTTGTGCTGAATTTCCAGGATCTTCATTATTATATATCTGGGTGTAGATTTGAGTTGATATTATTTGGAGTTCTATATTCCTTAGTTGTCTGAATATTAGATTGTTTCCCCATATTTGGGAAGTTTTCTGCTATTACATCTGCCCATATTCTTTTTATGTTGTTTGTGTTGGCTCTTTCTTTCTCATTGATACCTATTAGTCTTCTATTGTTCATCTTTGCATCATCTTGCAGCTGTTGAATTATTATTTCCTGGATCCTTGTTTTTAAGAGATTTTTCTTTTCCTGATCACTAGCTGCAACTATGTCTTCAAGGTCTGAAAGTCTAGCTTCACTTTTTTTTTTTTTTTTTTTTTTTTTTTTTTTTGTGGAATCAGGTATTGAACTCAGGCCCTGTGCTTGCCAGGCAAGCGCTTATTCTACTGAGCTATCTCCCCGGCCCTGCTCTATCTTCACTTTCATTCAAACAGCTTTGACAACTTTTAATGGAAGTTTTAATTTTCTGTATATGTCTTTGAAGCTGCTTTATGCATTCTTCCTATATTATGCATTTTTTCCTATATTTCTTATTCAAGTTTCCATCATTTTTCTGTTCTCTGTTTTTTTTATCACTGTCTTCTTTATACATGCTTAGTAATTCTTTCAGTGTAGTTATCATTTCTTTTTTACCTAGGATATTATTTCTGATCTTATTTCCTATATACCCTTCTGCAGTTGTTTCTTTAGTTCAGTTGCTATTATTTCAGAGATTTCGGATGTGCCTATTTCTTCTATGTCAGTGTCTCCTAGATTTATTCTGGGTGGGCTTGGGTTCTGAGATTGCATTTGGTTCCTTCATGTTGTCATGGTCTATTTCAGAGAGAGCTCTTTATTTTGATTTCCATGAACTTTGATTATAGGTAGCTGTATCACTGCAATCAGAGCCTCTTTGTAATGAATCTTTTCTTTAGGTATCTTTTTGTGTCAGAGATTCTTGTTTGTTGTGTCCCAAGATTTTGCTGTCTTTATTGAGAGTGGGATATTGGTTTCCATTTGGCACTGTCCTCTGTTCTTTAGTATAGGGCTTTGGTGAGTTTTTATCTAAGTACCTCCCAATATTATTATTACCCAAGGAAGACTATGTGGTTAAAGCAGATGTGGTATTTTAGTTACAGCAGTACAATTAGCAGTATAACAGAAAGTGAAATTTAGAAATTGACAAACTTTGATAACTAATGGTTTGTATTTTAGACCATAGGAGCAAACATTATAGCTGTACAGCAAAGCAGATCATAAACTGAGAATTTGTATGCAAACTGGTTCCTCTGAGTTCTGTCTGGGCTCCTCCCCTTCCCATACCTGGAGTCTTGCAGGTGCGCTAGTTCCCCCACACTGCCTGCTGCCTTCATGCCGTGAGGAGATCCTGTAGGTCTGGGCCTGAGACTGGGCCCTACTGGGCCTAAAAGTTTGCCTTAGCTCACCAGGTCTAGCCACAGGTCTTAGCCTCTCCTCTGAGAACTGTGCCACCAAATTCTGCCCTCTGTGCCAAATTCCACCTGCCAGGCTGAACTCTACCTGTAGGGCCAAGTTGGTCTGCAGAACTGGACCCCGCCTGCTGGGCTGCACCTCAGTTCCTCTGCACCACTGAATAAAAAGAAAAATGTTAATTTTAAAGATCCATTTTACTCTCTTGGTTTCATTGTTATTGGTGTTGTCAAATAATCCTGTATTTGTCACCTCATTCAATAACAAACAGTGAAGCAAAACTACTGATAGTATGGAAATCATTATATTCTAATATGCTGTTTATAATTACATAAAGTTAAAATACATTTAATGACTTCGTTCATTTCAGAGAACTAAACTTTGAAGGCAGATTACCATGCACAATATGAGGGAGACAGCAAAATAATTTCAGCCTACCTTGTAACCTAGTGGACAATAGACTTGCTGCTGAGAATAAAGATCAGTAAATAAAATAATAATCATGTATACAAAAGAAAACAATTTTCCCTTAAGGGTTCACAATGCCACTTATATTTAATTATATTAAAAAGACTTCAAACAAAATACAGTTGAATTTAACTTCCAATTAATCTAACTTCCAATTTTAACAATAGTGGAAAACCTATATTTATGACACTTTAACATATTTTATTAGCTAATTTGCCTTTTCACGTTTTTAAATCCATATAAGGAAATAGCTTCAAATATACTTTGACTTTTTTAAATAATATTTTCGTTAAAGTGGCTAATGTGGTTTTCCTAATTTTCTTTTTTATTAAATCACAGATACTACAAGAGCAAGAAGAAGCCAGGAGAGTGATGGTGTTGAATATATTTTTATTTCCAAGCACTTGTTTGAGACAGATGTACAAAATAACAAGTATGTAGTGGATATTTTGTAGAAATTTCATGTGGCTATTGTTTTCTAAGTATGTGACTGTACATTTGGTTTTAGATAACTTGGGGTTCTTTTCCCTTTAAATTGTGTTTTAATTGTCATATTTGAAACTTACAAAAGTGATAATTCAATAATTGTCACCAGTCTTTGCCTTGATTTTTAAATAAGTTGCAAGTTGTTGCATTTCTGTTAGATGATGTGCTCACAGTGGTGGTGAAGCTAAGGTGTGCGTGCAGACTGCCATCACCGGAAGCTGCAACAGGTTCAGCATCCCCTATTTAGGAGATTTTTTGCATCCTGTGCTTTGCTAGTAGCTTTGTGACATCTCTCCTCCCTACTAATTTACCCTTAATGTTCAAGTTGGGTAGAATTTTACTTTAAACATTAGTGGGCAACTGTGTACTCTATTGCTAGATCCTTTACACATAGACACACACACACACACACACACACACACACACACACACACACGCATACACACACTCACACAACCCTTATTTTCACCTTGCCACTTCAAAAATTGGATGAAATTCTTATCCTGTATGTATTACCTTCTCTAGCTAGCTCTAAATTTTCCTTCCAGTTTTCCATATGCTCAAGCATGAGTATTTCAGGGTATCAGAAGCAATGTATGTTTTAATGCAGGATTGTGAAATTTTATTGAAACATTGAAATGCTTTCTTTGCATTTGGTGCAATGATGGTGTTTTTATAGCACATAATCGGCTGTGCTGGTTCCGTCAGCCACCACCCAGCTCCCGCATTCTGAAGCCGAGTGCGGCTGCTCTGTAGTGCGTAGTGAAGTTTCAGTAGTTTCTATTGTTTGCCTTATCCATCCTTTTATTGTATTGCATTACTTCTGAGAAAGGGGGTGATGGAAAATGTTAGAGTTCCACTGGGCTACTTTTTCTTTTGCTTAAGTGTAATATAAACAGGTATTACTGATTTGAACATGTAGGATAGAATTTTTAAAAATTGACATGCTGAAGTATGTGTCCTATTTATTTTATTAAACATGGTAAAAATTTACATGTTCGGCACAAATATCTTTACCTAAGAGTTATATCCTGACACCTATTTTTTTAATTCCAAAGTAATTCTGGTACATCTCTAATTTTCTACAGGTTCATCGAATATGGTGAATATAAAAACAACTACTATGGCACAAGTATAGATTCAGTTCGATCTGTCCTAGCTAAAAACAAAGTTTGCTTGTTAGATGTTCAGCCTCATGTAAGTAAATGGCAAAAGTAATCTTGTGACCCATGTAATCCACTGCACTCCCGCTGAACATTTCAGTTGGAGGTAGAGCAATGTAAAGTCTGTTCATATCAGTGAATTTGAGACATCTTTGGTGGGAAAAGAAGCCCATATTATTAGAAAAGAGGAGTAGAAAAATCCCCAAGAACCATATAACTCTTGTTTTTATTCAGTTTAGTAATTCTTAGGTATTTCTATATATTTCATAATCTTACAAAATACCTTATTATGTACATAATATATTTTGTTATGTATTATACATTCTTTTTATATGTGTAGTATATTATATGTTACATATTAAGTGTTTACCATTTTCACAATGGACATTTTGATTGTCACTCATGTTCTCTGATTTTGGCCCCAAATATATCCTAGAAGTAGAGAACCTCATAGGAATGGCATGGACTTGATGAGAGCACTATGATGGCTGTGGGGGGGGGGAGGCGGTCATTGTCCATCGCCCTGGGACCTCCAACGAACATCCTGGACTCAGGGTGCCTTATCACACCAGCAGCTGTCCACATGCTAACCACCACACAGCATCTTCCTGGCCTTTCAAGAGGACAGGTTCTTCCTCCTCTGATAGTGTTAGCTTGGATTGCACAAATTCCAGAAGACGTCAGAAAGATCTGTAGAGGCCCCTTGCTCCTCTCAGGAGGGTGACTCTGGAGCCAGCAATGAATGGCATGTCCCTGCTGAGCGCCAGTGCTCTGCGTGGTTCTCACCTGTCTCATCTCTCAGCTGTTCCCCTTCAGTAGTCACCTTGACCATGAATGCATCCCCAGAGGCAGAGTGTGAATAACAGAAGACACTTGCAGGGCAGACAGAGAGCAGGGCTCTCCATTTAGGGACCTCTGAGGAGCAGGAGGAAGGACCTGGCTTGGCACAAAGCAGAGGCCTATGGGATGATTAGAAAAGAGGAGTAGAAAAATCCCCAAGAACCATATAACCATATGAAGTAAAGCAGGAGGTTCTTTACTCCATCATATTCTGTTGGTATTTGATCTAAAAATGAGTTTCATGGTATTTGCATTGAGTTGTTTTCAGTATTACTTATAGTGTTTTTCAAATCATTTTAAAATGTAAGTTATATTCTGTAACTTCTTTTTAAGGATATTGTTGCCTTACTTGTCAAAAATTGATTGAACAATAATATATCAAAAGATTCACTAACCTTAATGAATTTTTTCCTCAGAAAAAAATTTAATAATTTATTGGGTAATGAAAAGTGAGGAAAATTCTTTTTTTTCCTTATAGACTGTGAAGCATTTAAGGACACTTGAATTTAAACCCTATGTGATATTTATAAAGCCTCCATCAATAGAGCGTTTGAGAGAGACAAGAAAAAATGCAAAGATTATTTCAAGCAGAGATGACCAGGGTGCTGCAAAACCTTTTACAGTGAGTATGAGGATACTTAGTGATAATGCAAAAAGCATTGTGTCAAGGCATATATGCAAGTGGCAACACTACTAAAGGCGAACTTGTGGCCCAAAAACCCATACAAGGCACAGTTGCATTCAAAGACGTATTTTTTTTTATAATTAACTAAAACTTGCATGAGGCTAAAGAATCTGTACTAATTTACATTGTAAGTTTGTATAATCTTTATATGATTTATGCTGACTATACTATGTACTTGCTTCTGTAGTCTACTCTTTGTCCAGGGTGGGTACCTGTAGTTTGATCAACTGCGTTATAATTCCCTTTTGTGCTTCTGAATGAATCATCATAGTAAGCTGACTCAAACTGTTTTTATACTATTTCTCTAGACCAGACATTTATATAAAAGGTAGGATAAATTTTGTGCAGATTCCCCTGATTTTTAAAGCTAAAACTGCCTGGATCAATTATTGTTAATCATTAATAGTCTAAATGAAAACTAAGAATGTGCTTTGTCTCCTGGAATCAGCAATCATATGTAACACAGTAAAAAGAAAAAGCGCCATGTTGGTATTTCTAATCAATGTTAAGTGAGTCTGGCTACTGCAAGTTAACACCCAACTGCTGGTAAGGTCTCTCTTGGCTTTTGTTTCCAGTCTGCTCAAGATGATACACTCTACCTTTGACCAAAACGTCATATCATAGTGATATATGTGCACCTATGTTTATAGCAGCACAATTTGTGATTGCCAAACCCTGGACACAACCCAGATGCCTGTCACCTGAGGAATGGATGAAAAAGACATGGTATTTTTATACAATAGAGTATTCCTTAGCTATAAAGAATGATAAACTAGAAGCTTTTATATTTAAGTGGATACCACTTGAAGATATACTCATAAGTGAAATAAACCAGACCCACATGTGTAAATATTGTATAGTCTCCCTAGCGTAAGAACTCAAAAAAAGATATAAAAATAGAAAAGTATAACACAATTAAAAGGAAAGTGAGAACTTAAGGATTAAACAACAAAGAGAGGGCAAGGAGAAAATCTAGGAAACATGACAGGGGCAAAGCCATACATTTATATTTACAAGATGGGCAAGGCAATGATCCTAAGAATCTCTACCAGGTTTTTGAAACTAGCAGTTAATTGGTAGGATTTTCACCCTGACTAACTGAATTTGCTGAAACCTGTGAACTAAGCAACTGCACTGAAGATAGCAATGTGTAATAGTAGGGTCATGCTTGGAATGCCTGTCATTCTGGTCTTTTAAATACATACTGCTTGTCATGTTATACCAATTACTACTATACTATCTCTCAAGTAAATGTCTGTTTTTTAAAAAAGGGTAATAAATAGGGGCTGAGGATATAGCTCAGCAGCTGAAGCAGCTTCCTGGCAAGCACAAGGTCCTGAGTTTGATCTCTGGTACCTTAAAAAACACAACAAAACAAACAAACAAAAAAACCCTCTTAAAAAAAAGGGTAATAAATGAAAACGAGAGACAAGGAAAAAAATGTCATAGAACTGTCCTGCTACAATGCTGTATATGGTTAGATTTCTAAATTTGTATGTAAAATATGTAATTGTTTATTCCTATTTTAAAAACATTTTTTATTTTATTTATTTTTTTTTCTTCACATTCTGTAGGGATTCAAAGTTTAACATCAATACTTGATGGAAAATACTTGTTCCACGTTATGTCTAGGATGTTTGATAGTCAGACAAATAGATTAAACTCAATTGCTTATATTTTGGAGTAATAATATCATTAAGCTTCTCTTCTGGAGGGTTAACAACCTAAGTTTGCAGACCAAAAATTAGAGAAAAAGAAGGGCTGCAAGGACAGCCAACATTTTGTCCCTAACCTTTCAAGATCAGTGAGGACTCAGGACCCAGGAGAACCTGTACTGTAACATCCTGTAATTCAGTTGTGTCCCAAATTTTCTGATCAAGGAAATTATGGGACCACAAAGGAAAGTGATCAATGGTGTAGAGTGTGCCTAAGGAGAGTCACATGGAGAGAAAATTTTCTCTCAGGCTTTCACAGAGAGAAAATTGGCCAAGCAATGGCTGTGACTCATCCACATGGCTGACATTGACAAAGGTTCTACAATCTGAGGTACAGGATCTCAGGATAAATCCTGAGAGGATTTCCCTGACCTTATCAGACCCAAAAGATACAACTCTTGTTGCATAGGTCCTGCTTTACCTTGGTCTTAACCATCCAGCAGAAAAGTATAAAAATGAAATATAAAAAGTAAAGCCATATTAATATGCTGAGCTGTAAAGGCTCAAGTCAACAACTTCTGACATTGCCAGTCCTACAGAAGACCCACTACTGTTATGGACTACTGGACTATATTGGAATATTTTGCTGAATTCACACACCTACAATATTTAAATGACAATGGAATACCCATCTCTGACAAAACTGAACCAAAAAAGGGGATACAAATGAAGGACCATTTTGGTTCTGTATATACAATATATTTAGGATAGATATACAGCTACTTTCTCTTAATTCAATGAGAAGAAAGATTGGTACTAATAGTATTTGGACAGGATATCATGTCTGCATCTTGTACTAAGAATTACTACTATGAAGACAACAATATGCAATGTATTAATTATTGTAACTATCCTACTAATCGGTTTTGAAACTGTCTTATTGCTATTTGTTTCTCAATAAAATTAATTTTATAAAAGATAATAAGCAAACAAAGGTGAAGAACTTTGTCCTCTTGTTAATTATCTTATGTTTAACTTCAGTCAGTATTAATCTATGAACTGCATTGTAGTTGTAAAATAGTGGAGATCATGTTTTTCATTCTCAGTATTTGGTCTTTTTTCAAAATGCTGACGACATATGTTTGTGCTGAGTAGATACTGTCATGTGATATTAGTCTGAAAGCTCGATTATTGCTAAAATTTTTTCTGTTACAAAATCATGTGACACTGAAATATAGACTCAAATTATCTGTATGTTTTAATGTGAAGAGTTATATTATTTATGGTTTTAAAGGCCTATAAATTAAAATTATCTTAAGATTTTACTCTTTCTTTTTTTCCCATAATTTTATTGATAAACAAATAGCAATGAGACAGTTTCAAATCAAATTGGTAAGACAGTTTCAATAATGAACACATTGCATACATTCCTCCCAGTGGTTAATTGCTGTACAAGATGCGGACATGATAGCCTATCTACAAACACTATTAGAACAAATCACTCTATAAGATTTTACTCTTTCACATGTGTGTATATACTTACAAAATGTTGATTTTGATAGCTAAAATATCTCCTAGTGTCAAAATGTGGCCAAGAAGGGCTTCTCAAACCCCTCTAGTGAGCCAGAGTTGGAACATACTGTCCTTTGATAATATATCCAAGTCTGAAAGAATGGTTTGTGTTATAAATGCTTTCCTATGAGTATGCACAAACAATGCCACCTGGCAAAGCACCAGATTAAATCTTCCCTTCTTGGACAGGATATCATGTCTGCATCTTGTACTAAGAATTACTACTATGAAGGCAACAATATGCAATGTATTAATTATTATAACTATCCTACTAATCAGTTTTGAAACTGTCTTATTGCTATTTGTTTCTCAATAAAATTAATTTTATAAAAGATAATAAGCAAACAAAGGTGAAGAAGCTATTTTAATAACATGTTCATGTAATAGTTAGTGGCTAACTGCTTACTTGTTCGTTTGTTTTGTTAGGTTGCCTTTATTTCATTTGGGTTTTTTTTGTTTGTTTGTTTCTTCTTTCTTAAATTATCTTTAGGTTTATTGTACCATTTAGATATAATGATCACATTCATCATGGGGAGTTTGATTTATCTTTTTTCCCCCATTCCCCTTGCTTCCCCTCCTTCAACCCCACTTCCCCTACTTATTTACAAAGCTTTGTTCCCATTTTATCCTTTTCATGTTTTTTTTTATTTTTATCCTTTTTTATCATTTTTATCCTTCTCATTTTTTAGCCTCATTTTTTCATTTTTATTCTTCTGATTTTTTTACCCCTGCCTCTACCCTAGTTCATCTTTTGAAAAATTCCTTCCTATTTTACAATTCAGTTTCTCACACCACTGAGACAATATATATTGACGTTTTTCCAATTTATTTCATTTGAATGTGGTCTCAGGATGCATCCATTTAGCTAGAAATGTCTCTAATTTACCCTTCTTTATGGTTGAGTAATACTCCATTGTATAAAAATACCACATCTTTTTTATCCATTCCTTGGTTGATGCGCATTTGGATTGTTTCCAAGATTTAGCTGTTACTAATTGTGCTACTATAAATGTCAGTGTGCATATATTGCTGTAGTATGATGGTTTTAATTCTTTCAGGAAGATACCAAGAGGGGCAATAGCTGGGTGAAATGGGACCTCTAGCTCTAGTTTTCTGAGGAATTGCCACACTGATATTTTCCACAGTGGTTGTACCAACTTAAACTTCTACCCTGCAGCATTTGTTATTGGTCAAGTTTCTTAATAACAGCCATTCTTTCTGGAGTAAGGTGGAATCTCAGCATTGTTTTAATTTGTATCTCTCGAATGACCAGTGATGCTGAACATCTTCTCATATATTTATTTGCTGTTTGTATTTCTTCATGTGAGAAGTACTCATTTCAGATGTGCATATTTGGATTGGTTCTTTTACGTTTGGGGGTGTGATTTCTTTTTAGATCTTTATATGTTCTCAGTAGTAATCCTATGTCTAAGGAACAGCTGGCAAAATTTTTTTCCTACTCTTGGGTGTCTTTTCACTGTATTAGTGACTTCCTTTGCTGTGCAAAAGCTTTTTAATAAGATGAGATCCTCGTTGTTGATTCTATATAGTATTTCCCATGTAGTCAGGATTTTTGTTCTTGAAGTTTCTGCCTACCCCTGTACCTTCAAGAGTTGTACCTGTTTTCTCTTCTAGCAGCAGATTTAGTGTGTCTGTTTTAATATTTAGATCTTTGATCTTTTTTTACTTTAATTTAGTGCATGGTGATGAACATGGGTCAAGGTTGTTTTTGGCCTGTGAAGAGCCAGTTTTTCCTGCACTGTTTATTAAAGAGGCCGTCTTTCTTCCAGTGAACATGTTTGGCCCTTTTGTGAAAGATGAGGTAGCTCAGTGTGTAAGGACTTGTTTCTACATCTTCTAATCTCCATTGACCCTCAGGTTTTGTTTTTGTTTTTGTCAGTACCATGCTTTTTCAAAAAAATGTATTTAGTACCGGGTCTACTCTACAGGTTGGACTTGTAGCGATCCTTTTGTTTTTAGCCTCCCAAGCACTGGGATTATAGGCATGTGCCACCACACCCAGTCTACCATGCTGTTTTTATTCACAGTAGCTCTGTAGTATAATTTCAGGTCTGGTATTGTGATACTCCTTGCCTTTCCTTTGTTGGCCAGGATTGCGTTTGTTATTATAGGTTTCTCATGGTTCCAAATCAATTTTAGGAGTGTTTTCTCTATTTCTGTAAAGCATGCTAATGGTATTTTGTTCAGGATTACATTAAATCTGTATAGCAGTTTTGGAAGTGTGGCCATTTTCATATGTTAGGTCTTCCTATGCAAATCAATAAATGTAAAACACCATATCAACAGAGTCAAAGATGTTTTAAAGATTACATAATCATCTCAATAGACATGGAAAAATCATTTGACAAAGTTGAATACACATTCATGATAAAATAAATCCCTGCAGAAAACTGGAATGGGAGTCTTTAATAGTCAATCTGATAAATGCCATTAAGGACAAACCAACAGCCAACATTATACTAAATGGCCCAAAACTGAAAGCTTTCACTCTAAAATCAGGAACAAGACAAGGATATCCACTATCACCACTCCTATTCCATATAGTCCTGGAGACATTAGCCAGAGCAATGAGACAAGAGAGAGAAATAAAAGGCATAAGGATAGCAAAGGAAGAAATTAAATTACCATTATCTCCAGATAACATGGTGCTCTACATAGAAAATCCCCAAAATCTCCACCAAAAGACTTCTATATTTAATAACCGAATTCGTAGCATAGCTACAAAGTCATCACTCAAAAATCAATAGCATTCCTGTACACAAATAACAAAATCACTGAGAGAGAAATTAAGGACATACCCTCTTTCACAATAGTGTGGTAAAAAATGAAATACCTAGGAATCAATTTAAAGGAGAAAGTAAAAGATCTCTACTCTGAAATCTGTAATACTCTGGAAAAAGAGATGGAAGTGGATAACTGTCCCATTCAGGCAAGAGTTTTGACTCTCCCCAAACATTTAGTTACAAGCAAATTAGGCTTGTAGGCTTAGCAGTTAGGGCTTCTGAAGGATAGGGCTTTATAAAGGTCACTAATTTCTGCTGAGGTGGAAGACTGAACACAAGATAGTATGAGGTAAACCTGTTGAGGAGTGCTTGCACTGATGTGAAGAGATCTAATTGCCTGGTTAACCAAGTTTTTCATCCTATTTTCTTTTTGTAGGAAGAAGATTTTCAAGAAATGATTAAATCTGCACAGATAATGGAAAATCAGTATGGCCATCTTTTTGACAAAATTATAATAAATGATGATCTCACCATGGCATTTAATGAGCTAAAAACAACTTTTGACAAATTAGAGACTGAAACCCATTGGATACCAGTGAGCTGGTTACACTCGTAACTAAGAGGAATTCTCAGGATAGTCTTTTTTATAGAGAGCATAATTAAATCATTTGCCATTTCAGTAGTAGGACTTTTTTTAAAAAATCTGTATCACTGTCATAGATGTACAGTCTTGGTCAGAATTGGATGGCAGTTCTGTTCGTATCTTTTTACAGTCTTATTTGAAACACAATGTGTGACTGTAAGTTCTAAAAATCAAAATTTGCACATACTGTATTCTAAAAAAAATTGCAGTTGTCTTTAATATATTTCTATGTTGTGAAGTTTAATCTGTAAGATGTAGCTAGTGATGTCTGAGGTCCACACTTTTGGCCTCCGCTGTGGCTGCGCCGTGTAGTTTGCACGGTGGCCCCTGAAGCTGTGAGTGCAGCACCACGGGCAGTGCCTGGCAGATGTGTGAGTCACTGCTGTTTCCAGAAGGGTCATCACAGATCTCACCTGCCCAGCTTTAAGATGGAGTCCTTTTACTATTCAAAAAATGCAGCTGTTTTCTTACCTCTACAAAATATGTTCACAGTGTGTGCATTTAGAAATTTTTCAAATGAGAGCCTTTTGAGTGAATAGCCTTCATATTATAATATTATAGCTTGAAAAATCCCAATGAGCACACATCCAACACTGAACACATATTTAATGAGGGAAGACAGACCCTTTGTTTTTTATGAAGATCTCACTGAGTTACCCAAGCTAGCCTCAAACTGAGATCCTCCTGCCCCAACTTCCCAAGTTGATAGGTGTTTAGCACTGCACCCGTCTTGGAAAACAGACCTTTAAAAAAGTTGTTGTGACTGTAACTAAAAACCTTTCCTTGTGATGTGAGTTCTGTGGTATCTTAGGACAGGAAATGTTTACAAAGGACATTTCTATGTAAGTCCTCAGAAGACACTTCTGTATTTGCTAAAAGCGTTTGGTTTGTAAACTACTGTTAGTTTATCCCAATAAATTATAACAATGTGATTCCTACCCTAAGATATGTAAAACATTTTATGTGTATTAATGATACAGTTAAAGAAAACTTGATCATTTTAAAAAAATCATTGCAGTTGGTTACCATACATTTAAATTATGCTAGTATGTATTTTAGAAAACTTTTTAGGTAGCATTAATATCTTTGTCAACGAAGTCTTTCTTAACTTTAGTCAGATACCATCCCAAACTCACCATTATAGAGAAGTTCCAGAAGGACACTTATATTGTAAATATTTAGAGAGTATTACCCATTTTTCTTGAATACTGCTGGTCTTGAACAAAGTGAACTATACAATGCAACATACTACAGATGTACACAATTCTTACCTGGAATTCCTACATTCTACCATTCTTGCATGCAATTAGATCCTGCTCATCAAAAATTATTGCATGAGTGACTTTCAAAGAAAAAATTATTTTTGTTGCTTTGTAAAGAGTTTAGATGTCATGTTTAAAGAATATGGAATGTAGTGAAATTTTATATATTTATGAAGTATTTGAAAGGCATATTTTTAATTATCAAATGAGGCTATTCATAAAATAAATTAAATATATATAAAGATGGCCTTATTAAAATAGTTTTATAAATTATGGTCAACATTCCATGTAAATATTTGACCTTCACATGAACAGACAGATCCCCAAGTGTTATATGTGCACTGAACATTGGCTAGCATTCTCTAGTAGATTCCTTCAGGCATCTTAATTATGCATAGGAATAAAAGTGAAAACTATGCTGGGGCCCTGATGCACTGATCAAACTAGATTTTACCTAACAACAGAATCCAAGTGAGTTCTAAGCCACTCAGTTTGGAAACAAAAAAAGTAGGGAGAAGGTTACTGAGTCTCATACTGAATGTCTGTATTTGAAGCTGTTTGGTTGAGTTAAGAGAAGTGCAAGTCATACGTTTGGGTTTGGGTAGAATATTCCATTCCTTAAACATTGACTGAAGTTCCCAATCAAGTAAGAGTCCCTTGTGCAAAGAATGATGGGAAATGCATAACTATATAGGCAATGCTCTGGGCAATTTGGACATTTTTTACTATCAAATATTTATATCGATCTTTTTTTCTTCCTTTGCAGATAACTGCCTCAGTTCTTTGCTCATAGGTAGTGATAATGTAGAGTGGTGGAACCTGGGTCTTTTTAGTTGGTGATGGTGATAGTAGGTGTGTTATAAAAATGCAGTCATCCAGACTTCCTTCTCTCTTAAAATCAATACTGAACAATATTTTTAAAATAATGAAAGGAATTTTGAGAAATTGAGTGGTTGCATAGCCTTTACAAGGTTGCATAGCCTTGCACAGCCTGTTTTTGCTTTATGCTTAGGAAGAGATTTCATTAAAATTTAGTAAGACAGGGCCAACTCCCAGGGCTTGTTGCTAACTGTGCAGTAGGTCCTCCGTCCTCTGCTTTCTTCACCTGCAACTACCCTCTCGTCCGAGGAGAAAAGCTGTGTGTACCTCACCTATCAGGCTGTTCCTAAGACAGCATCATTCACTGTTTGAAAGAAGAGGAATGATTGATTTTTCAAGTATGTATATGTATATTTTTCTGACATATATATACATATTTGAATATATATATATATATATATATATATATATATATACACTCTTTCCAAGACCGAGAAGGAAATCTGTGCTCCAACAATTGACAAATCAGAGTTGGCTAAAAATAAAAAGGTAAAACTGAAATATAATTTTCACTACACTTTTACAGATCAATATTTCTATCTTGGTATCTTTAAGGCCTGGTATTCCTGGCATTGTGTAATGATTGAATGTATGTAAATTGTAATGATTTAAAATTGACAAACATGTAAACTGTTCAGATTTGTACTACTGTGTTATGAAAATCTTCCTGAAGATACAGATTTTTATTATTTATTTTCTTTTGGGCTAGGAAGGATTTATAAATAAATGTAAGGGGAAAATCTTGGATCTTAATAAAGTATCTTCAAACAACGTGTGTACTTGAAAGTTATTTTTGTATTTTAATATTCTAGTACAGTGTTATTTTGTTCTATTCTATTCTTTTGTTTCCCACGTAGGACGTCTTTTTTCTGCTATGGTATTAAATGGTTTATTTGAGCTTGCCATATCTAAAATCAAATTTTGCATATTTTTTCAGTGTTTTCTTGAAGGTTGTTGTGAGACAGAATACACTCACCTTGCTCTTAGCAATGAGCAGAAGTTTGAGGGTGAGTGGAGTGCACATGAGGTCCAGGACATTCAAAGATGGGCTCTTCCCCGCCCCTCCTGCTGTTCTTTTTTCCCTCCCTGTCACTCTTCTCCTGACTCAGTCATGTAAAAGTTAACTTGTTCAGTGATGCCTGTGCGAATGAGCTGTCTAGAACTAATGAACTAATCCATATTTGCCCTGCTCCAGTGGGTAAGCCAGTTAGCTTCCATAGAAAAACTGTGTGATGTGCCATTTAAGACTTCAGGATCTGAAACCAGAATTCTTGAGTTCAAGTTCCAATTTTGTCTGACATCAGCTTTGCAATGCAATGGGAAAAAGGGACTGAATGTCTCTAGTCTCCATTGTTCTCATCAGGAATATAGGGACAATAATAGTGATTACCTCATAGGACTGTTTTGGGCATAAATTGGCAGAATCCATGTAAAGTTTTAGAATAAAATCTGGAATGGAAACACCCAATAATTGTGAGCTCTTGTTTCATAATGATCATTGTAACATCACACAATTTAAGACTGGCAAGATAGCTCAGCCGACTAAGCTCCTGCTACACCAGGGATCGCTCCCTGGTATAGCATGCAGCGCCAGCCCCGCCCATGGGTGTGCTGAGCTGGGGACCAGTTCTGGGTGTGATGGTGCACGCCTGTAAGCCCTGGGCTGGGGAAGCTGAAAAACAGGGGGATCACTATGAGTTCCAGCTGCATAGTGGGACCCTTTGCAAGATACATTTTAAAAAAACCCACAATTTAAAAATCAGTATGTGAATACTGTTAATCACTCTACCCAAAGGTTTCCCTATTAGTAAACTCAGACTTTTTTAATAAATATTTCCTATTATAAAGCTTTTTATGTTTTAAAAATCTGTTGTTTCCAACCAAACAATGCATCAGGAACTAATTAGGTAATCCACAATATAAAAGCAAACAAAATTTTACTTTTAATCCAAGTATGATGCTATGTCCTTGAAAACAGTTTTGAAAAAGTAGCCCTTAATTGTTTCAGTATTCTTTCTGCCACAGGTATCTTCCTTGTCCATTTACACCTAAGCTTTTATAAGGAGGAGCATGCTACTTTTATAACAGCAAGCAAATCTGAGACAAAACCAGATACGAGTAAGAATGGAATCATTAGAGGAGTGATTATTCATCTTCCTTAGGCATGTGCAGTTTGCAGATGGTTTTGTCAGGGCATGTTGCTTCAGTCAGAACTTGATAAATGCATGGCTCATGGGTGGGTTAATCTTTAAGCAGTTGTTATAATCAGAAGCAGAAACGATTTCATAATGTGCAGTTGCCTGTTTAGCCTGCTTACATCCCAGTCCTTAGTAAAGAGCCAGGATTGCTCCATCATGACCACCACCTGCACGGTTCAGCTGAGCTGGTTATGGTGCTTGCTCCAGGTGATACCTTGACTGTTAGAGGATCTGTGAGAAAGATTTAAGCAAACAACTGCATGATGTGAAAAATTCTTCATGCCGCATCCCCATTCTTCCTGTTTGTGATGCCTTAATTATATTGTGTTTCTAGGGCAACCATAACTTTAAACTAGCACATGACAAAGACCAGTCTTCTGAGGGTGACTGAGGAGAAAGAGATAAATATCCTAAATCCTTTACGCTATCAAGTAGCTGAACCAATCTGAGACTTTTTTTCCTTCTCATTGTTGAATAAAAGATAAATGTTAGATGATTTAGGTCACTGTTGTGTTACCGCTTACCTGCTGCTGTGAGCACTCCTACTGAAATTCCACAAGCAGCTCAGGTCCCTCCCAGGATCTGCTTGCACTTAGCACAGCTGTTGTCTTTGCTCAGCTGTCGCATATCCTACCGTGGCACAATTTTTGAGATTTAAAATATCCTGGAAGCTGTAGGGTGGGCCAGAGAAAGTAACACATTTAATTTTTATTTTCTTTACATTCCACATCTCCTCCACTATGTAAGAAATCAACCTTAAAACTCAAATTTGGAGAAAGTTATTTTTAAGTTTTTGGACTTACAATTTTGTTATGATGTTCTAATTTTATTAGCCTTTTAGTTCCACAAGCTGAGACTACGTTGGAACTAATAATACCTATTTATTTAATCTGATTTGGATAGCAATACACAAAAGTTACATTTGTTGAGCCCTTTCTTTGAGCCAAGCTCCTTAATAATTACTAGTACATAAATTATTTATGATAATCCACTTAAATACAAAAAAGATTTAAGTAGAAATATATTTAAACAACTCTGAAAACTAGGATTAAAAATAAATAATTGCTGTAGATTTAAAAGAAGAGTTTATAAGAAAAGCTTTATATAACTGTAAAAAGCTATGTGTATATATATATAGAGAGAGAGAGAGAAAGAGAGAGAGAGCGCCTTATAAAATATATTGCTATCAGGAATACACAAGGTAACAAGTAGAAGGCAGGAGCAATACAAATTACTTAAATATAGTTAAATGATTGTTTCTTAGGAATTTGAACACAATCACCCATGGAACTAAAACTAAATATAAATAAAAGCAGCTCATGAAGTCAGATTATTAAAAACAAAACCACATGTCTCTAAATGGTATAAATACAGATATTATGAGGCAATTTTTCAAGTTGTTTTCAAAAATGAAGCCAACCATTATGTTTGAGAAGAAAAAGATTTACCATAAAGATTGACAACAGTATGAAACAAGCAGAAAGCATAATATTAAAGTTGAATTTAATTTCATTAATTGAATCAAAAAGTCATTTATTTAGTAATCACTGGCCTAAGCCACAAAAGGAAGATCACTAAGACATAAAGAAAAAACCTGCGACGCAATCAGCAAAGCCAAATTATTGATCTATAAACACTGTCATAAACTTTAAAGAAAAATGGTGCTGACGGGGTTTGGATATCAGAATTCCTCAGGTTGATGCTATGACTAAGGAAAGAATGGTCCAAAAACCCTGAGATCACAGTTTCTATTAAAAAAAAAAAAAGTTCTGGAGTCAAATAATGCCAGTACAATTCACCATAATGTATGGGACAAAAAGAAAGCAGTCCGAAGAAAGAAGGTTTTTTCAGTCAATGTTTACATTAGAAAAACAAGCTCAAATACCCAAATGCTGAGCCTCAAGATACTATAATAAATAAATAAACCCTTATCCAAACTTCAAAAGGAGAGAAAAGACATCAATATAATTAGAAATGAAGTTGAAATCAAAATGCATACTATCAAAATTCAGAAACTAGTACTAAAAAAAGTTGTATTTCAACTGCGGAGCTAGGTCAGGGGCACAGTGCCCGCCTGGCAAGTGTGAGCCCCTAAGTTAGATTCCTAGCCCCCCCACAAAAAAATTTGTATTCAAAAAATTGTAAAATCTTGAAATGGACAAATTCCTAGACTCATACTAATTACCAAAACTAAATTAAGATATAAAAATTCTGAACAGTCCATTAACAAGTAATCAAACGGGCAGTAATTTAAAAACCTACCAATTAAGAAAGCCGCAGGACCAGGGCTGGCCAGATAGCCAATGGAGTAAATGCCGGCTTCGGCTGAGCGCAGCGGCCAGGGCTGGATCTCCAGCGAGTCATGCCAGCCCCGCCCCCGCTTCTGGGGCACACTCAGAT